CAAAGAAAAGTTATTACTCTATGTCAAATAAAAAAACTATACATTATATTCACTTAATCACATTACATAACATGAAAATCACTTGAGTGGTTCAAATATTAACTATTCAGTCAGAGAATAGCGAAAAGCTACATTTTTATTTTATTAAGGTTTCTCCAGCAATTTTAAGCCTACAATAGTTAAATTTTCAAAATCTAAATGAACTTGAACATAATTCAAGCCGTATGAATTAAGTCCCATACTAGTTGGTGCAGTAAAACAATGGTTGTGTTATGTAACAGAAAATAGTGGGATTTAAATAAGAATAGAGTTTGTGATGATGTTGAATATAATATTTAGGAATGAATGTGTTGTTGAGTTGAACTTTGGTAAATGACGAAAATATAACAACATGGATTAGTGAACAGATCAATTGTTAGGATCTGTGGTTCAATAAGGTAAAAAGTAAATAGTTTTGTTCTTAGGATAGAATGACTCAACAGTAGTGTTCTCCTTCTGAATATAACCTGAAATTTAAAGTTTAATACGTATAATTCTATTGAGATCGAGAAGGCCTGAATATGTTTGCTTACTAATCACCTTGAAGTAATTCAAGGAATCTCTGTAATTTGCAGTACTGATCATTCTTTTGTAATGTATAATTTTTGAAATGTTATCCTAAAGAATCAAAGTAGACTTTCAATTGTCTCAATTTAATTCCCTAACCTTTGAGACTTCTTTGTTTGCATCGTTGAGGACAATGTCCTATACTAATGAATTAGTGTAATCGTTGGATAAATTATATTTGAATCAGCTTTCTAATCACAATCCACGAAGTATTAACACACTTGAGAAAGTGAAAAATTAAGGAAAGAGTTTCTCTGATAGGGTGTTTCCTTTTATTTCCATTTCTTTTTTACTTATTAAAGAATATTTATGAAAAACCTGCAGTAGTTCTCTCAGCTTGTCGTTGTAAAAGAGTTGCTATTTGTGAACAGTAATCGTTTTCAAACGATGATCGAACATTCTTTTGAAATTCGTTTAAATGATTTAAAAAAACGAAAACTTTCCCCTGTTATACGGTGTGACACAAGCTAAATGTTTTAGCATTTTATGCAAGTTATACACCGCTGAATTCCTGTCTAGGAGAAAGATAGATAAGTTTGCTTTGTAAAATAACCAACTGAATGACCTTGACATGATTTCATTTTGTCTTAGATTATTTTTTATTTACATAGATAGCCTTCTTGGTGGTTGATACATTTAACAGTTTTCCTTCTTAAAAGTATCTATTTCTTCTTGATGATAATGGTGAATAAATTTGGAAAATAAATACATCGGTGAATGAATGAATAAAATGTGTGCAAAAACATATAATTATATAAGATATTAATTAAAAAGCATTATCACAGTATGAGTGTGGTAATTAATCAGTCAGCTTTGCATATTTCACCCCTAGAAAATAGTTTATAAAGTTATTTCAATGATGCAGAATATGAGGTGATCCGAGGAAATATTTTAGTACTGTATCCTTTCGTTTTTAAGAAAAATACCATGAATATGTTCGCAAATTGTTATTAAGAATTACCTATCAGAATACAAAATATTGCGAAATACCAAAGCGCGTCCATTCGTCACAACAATTCATAAAACAGAATTATAGACATAGGAAAGAAAAGCATTAGTGAACATTTTTGCACATATATATAATCAAGGTATTTTAACTGAGCTTGAATGACCACTTATATTGCAACTAATGGGTTATGATAAAGTGGTGTATGCTACAGATGTCCACAGACATAAGTAGTATATATCATCAATCGAAAGCGGAATACTTGGAGGAAGAAAGTTGAGTAAATCGAAGAGAAGAGAACGAGAACAGAGAGTGATTGGTATGGGAATGAAGGAACAATGAAGTCTGAGACAATTGATGAATATTTTGCAAATGAAGTATTACTGTATGGTTTTCAGATTTTGTCAAGATATTGTGTTATGTTGTGTTATAATATATTTGGTTGTCTCCACAATTGTTCTCGTTCTTAAAATGGATTCGGTGGTTGGACTGATAATTCCTACTTACGAGACCAGTATCCAAAATTCGATTAAATACATATCAGAAGACATAACCAATAAATAGTTGACTATATATATATATGCTTAATTGTTTTAAATATTTGTGTGATAGCTTAACTGAAATTTTTATACAATAAAGTTCTTGACAAGTATATATGAGATAAGATTGTTCCAAGTGTATTGCGCTAAAATATATTACATAATCCTGATAATCTTCGTCTCCTCTTTACACTATTCATACTTACCGAAGGGACTAATGGCCTCGAATTTTTAAAAAATACTCTATTTGTAATTCAATTGAACTGAATATTTATGATAATTTATTTTTAATCGTACTCAAAGTATTTTTATATGGTTTACAATGTTCTCTATCTTTTCATTCTCAGTTCATCTGTTCATCTGTTTATAAATCAAGAATAATTAAGTAGTTTTGACATTGCAATTGACATTCAACTGTGAAGATAAACATTCAAGAAAAAGAGTTGAATGTTTAAAAACAATCCATCTCTGCTAACCATGCTTGTGAATTAAGGTATATCGAGGCAATACGCACAGTATGCACATATGCCAATTAGAGACTGACCAGTTGTAGTCCTAACAAATCGATGGGAAGATTCAAACAAACAATACTAAATTAAATTTAAACTTCACCCCATCGCACAAGCAAGTGGCTATCAGGACTCAGTGGCCGAGTGGATAACGCAATGGCGTTTGAAGCGAGGGTACTGGGTTCGAGTCCCAGAGTGAACATCAACTCTGAGATGCAGGTACATCCAGCTGACGAGTCCCAAATAGGACGAAACGCGCGTCCTGTATTCCACTGCTAGCCACTATCCATCTTTGCCTACCATGCTTGTGAATTAAGGCTATATCGAGGCAATACGCACAGTATGCACATATGCCAATTAGAGACTGACCAGTTGCAGTCCTAACAAATCGATGGGAAGATTCAAACAAACAATACTAAGTTGAATTTAATCCTACATCTTTTGGTTTCACTTTCATACCTTCGTTGAATGTTCGGGGTTTAAAGTTCAATAAAGTACTTGATTGATGAAAAAGGGACTTTGAATTCAACTGTTAGAATAATGTGATCAAATTAAACAACTATATATCTTTTTTTTAAATTAAAGATATTATTTGAATTTAAACAAAGTTTGCTTTATAACAATTGAACATAGTGTGTAGAAAGACAATCCTACATTATAACATTTTATGATACTAATCAGACTGTGAATACAGATAGTGTATATTTGAATAAACATGAAATGATCTGCTGTAGTTGAATATACGCTCTGTAAGCAGGGAAAAGGTTTAGATTAAAAAATTATCGCTAATTAAACTTTTTGATTGATAGGAATAAACTCATTTGGTTAAAGTGTTTTAATAATTAATCGTTAGCTTGTGGCCAACTCTACTGATAATTAAGCAACGTTACCTATCATATCCTTACACATTTAGATAAAACAAGTTATGACAATTAAAAGTGAAAATTTACTTTAGTTAGTTTAAAAGAAAGAGATGTAAATTTGTCTGACAACTGACACTGTTTTTGTTAACTTTCATTACATTTATGACAGATTGATTGAAAGTCATTGTTTTATCCAGTAATTTTCAGCAAGTGTCTATAGACGATTGAGTTTATTTTATTTCGTATAAATTCTGTTAATTAGTTGATTTGTAAATGTTAGATCACATGTTACCGAAACCAAAAGGGTTAATTTGACACAATTATAAACAGCATAGTAAATCATCAATTTAAGCGTTTAGATACTGACTCCTTAATCACTTATTTCTCCTTAAACGTTTTCCTCTTCTGGAACACTAAGTAGGAAATAGGAAGCAGGATAAATAGAAGTCTTAGTCCAAAGGTTAAATTATTCAAAATGAGCAGCTTATTTATAGAACCACATGTGATATTAAGATTCTAGAGATGTTCGGGAAACATACTGTTATTCGACAAGAAACTTAGATCAGTGTCCAATAAGGGTAAGGAATTCCCAAAGAGAGCTAACTGATAGGAGCATTTTTAGCACGTTTCCAACTTCTGGAGATGTTTTCGAGGAATGATTAAAGGACAAGAATGATCCCATTCACCTAAAAACAACGCAAAGCCATTTCGGAAAAAATAAATAATAACTTCTTCATGTTGTACAACTTATCAGTTTTGTTAGAATAAAAACAATAGGGTTATAATGTTTTTACATTTTATGGACCGTGATTATCAAAAATAACATGATTTAATCTATTCCCTTCGAATGATATCGATAGCTAATCATTGTTCTGTATTTAAAGAGAACTTGAAATACTTAGATGGTAGTAAATGTAATGATTTATTTGAAACCAAAACTTGCAGTAATCACAAACACAGTTATCAGATGATAAATACCAACTATTACATTCGATGTTAAATGAAAAATTAACGATGAAAATGGTAAAAATAAAAAAGTTTTACTATGAAAGTTAATCGTTGTTTGAAAAAAGGTCAAAACTACAATTTATGGACGGATTAATAAGATTTAAGATAATAGGTCTTGGATTTTGGCAGAAAATTCATCCACACATTCGGTTAAAGAGCGTTTCGACATTTTAGCCGATGTCGGTTCGGGGTGAAAACCCTGAATCTATTTCTTAACCGTAACCATCAGTTATAAATCATAATTCTTATTCTTCAAACAGGTTATTAACCCTCATTTAGCCCTTATAAGTAGAAGGATATTCTCAAGGCCACTTTAGATTCACTCAATGGTCGTCCATAAATTATAGTCACACAGAAAAAACCATCTTTAACGACTCCCTTAATTGTTTTAACTAAATAATACTTCATTCTCACTTATCAATACTTAAACCGATATTTTCAGTTTTCGTTTTCATTGTATATTTAACAGTACTTATTGTTGAATCCCTTGATTCATATGTATTATATAACTGTGTTTTAACAATTTTAGGTATAAAAAATCGGAAGACGGTTCAAAAATAATTATTCGTCAAACTGCTGATGCAGACGAACACTTTTTCAAAGCATTACGAGGACTAAAAGTTGATGTTTCCGTGAGTGTTAAATTATCAATACGGAATTCATAAGATTTTAAACAAATTTCACTGTTATGTATATTTAAAATGATTTGACTTTGACTCAGTATTTTTTGATCGAATCTTCCGATTGATGCTTTATGATTGCAACTGGTCAGTTTCTAATTGGTATATGTGCATACCGTGCGTATTGCCTCTATATAGCCTTAATTCACAAGCATTTTAAGCGGAGATGGATAGTGGCTAGCAGTGGAATCCAGGTCGCGCGTTTCGCCCTATTTCGGACACGTCAGCTGGATGCATCTGCATCTCAGAGTTGATGTTCACTGTGGGACTTGAACCCAGTACCTTTCGCTTCACACACCATCGCATTATCCACTCAGCGGAAGGTAATTTGTTCGAGTCCCAGAGTGAACATTAACTCTGAGATGCAGGCACATCCAACTGACGAGTCCCAAGAAGGACGAAACGCGCGTCCTGGATTCCACTGCTAACCACTATCTTTCTTTGCTTATAATTTTCCACTTTGTTTTAGATAGTTTAATTTATTGTGGAACTAATACATTTGTGCTTGTTTTTAACATATGCACCTTATTGAGTAATATGTTATAAATTTTTATCATAGTATGAAATTTGGTAGCTGCAACCTGATTATCAGTAAACTTATGCATATGGATACACTAATTTTACTAATATTCAGCATCATATTATAGGTTCATGTAATAGGACAAGTAATGAGATAAGTGTTATGACCATTTACGATGCAAACAACCAGTCAAATCATTTGTATCTTATATAGAAACCAAAATAATTTATGTCATTTATAAGCTTTCATATCAACCAGTTTTCCATTAAAATCTACTAAGATAAGGCTGTCAAATATGGTTTATCTCTCAGAAAACTGTTCATATGGGGAAAAAATCGACTAGGGTTTCTTTTAAATTTCCGTGTAGATGTGTCAAATGAAGGTAAAAGAGATGTCCAATAAAAAAATAATTTTAATTACTTTTAAATCGCATAATTGTGAAACTTCCAACTAACTTAAAATGAATTTATTTTCACTACTGATCATCTAAAAGAATTGTTCAGGTGTCTGCTTGACTTCCATTTCATATATTTACTTTTACAAATATTCCCTACATTAAACCATTAAATTTGTTGGTGGGAATATATGACAAATAATGTTCGGATAAACAATTTCAGATTGGAAACAAGACGTTCACTTTTAGAAATATTATAAGAACTGGAAGTTTTCTAGATTATTTCTATGGATTAAGAAGGTTTTTTTAGTATTTCTCTGGTAGGACAGTACGATTTTACGGAAGAATCTCAAAGTTCATATCTTATCAATTTCAATAATTACCTGAAGTTTGAAGCGGTGACCTCCCAGATGTCTTGCAACTGTCTATAATGTCAGTACAATTAAGCATGAAAAGATTTCCCAGTTTAAAACAGTATTAATTATTCACTTTTTGAAAAGTTTTCAAACAAATTAATTCATCCAATGAATACCAACTTTTATTGATCATATGTATAAACTAGTCAGTAAGTGAAAATATTTTAAAAATAAATCTGATAGATATTTGCTTATATAAATACCTTTTTCAATATTTGTTTCAGCAGACTAACCTTAAATCACCTAATCTACAAAAACAATCAAGTGCTTCTGAAAAATGCAATAATACACCATCTGTTTCTTTATCCACTCCAACTTCAATTCAGTCATTCGATTTTGGAGAAGAAAAAATTCAACAGTGGTCTCTGAATGTAGGAGAAAAACATGAAGGAGATAAAAAACGTTCAGCTGCAGAATTAGCTGTAGATGAGCATTTCGAAAAGTCTCTAGCAGCATTTCGTGCTTCTGCTTCAAAAAAACAGAATGATCGTATTATCTGTGAAGACCATTTAAAATCACAAGCATCCATAACACATTCCGCAAATCAGAACTTGATAAACAGCTTGACATTGAAGGATTCTGATTCGTATTTACATCATAATAAATCTAATATCCATTATAATAAGTTTCAACATAAATCTTTACAAACAGAACCCAGAGGTGAGCATTATAATGTAAATTCAATACTTCAATGTAATAAACTTAAACCTACATCAAATCCTAATTTGGCAGTAACGTGTGAAAATACTATTTTTTTGCCGTCGAGCATTTCAAGACAATTGACCAGCACTGATGAGTTACATGATGATATTGAAAGTGATGGTTCAATTCAAGTTCATAGTCCAAATATTACTAACACCACTGCCCTTAATCGATTCAAAATAAAATTCGCTTCATCTTCTACATCATTACCACCATTATTTCCTATTAACTCATTTAAACCTAAAAAGAATTGGCTAGCTCAATATGACTGGAGATATCAGCAACCAGAGACAACAACCATTAGTCCAACTACACCAAATACTAACCAATCAATTTTCGATTCATCTGGATCATCCCCATCATCGATCAATATTGCTAGTGAAAGTATGGAAGATGTCCGACATATTTCGAATGTATCTATGCCAAAACTACACATAGTATCTGAATTACGTAACACAAACACTCCTGATCATGGTAATCATGGATTGTCTACAGAAGAAGCTCCAGATTTAAGAAATGACTCCGATTGTATCTTTTTATATTCTTCATACTCGTCACCTTCTTCACGTTCCTCTTCTTGTTCTGGTAATAATCCTCCTGAATGTTGTACTACAAATAGCACTGAAAGTGAACCCCAACAATCTGGTAGTACACTGACCAAATCTAGACTTTCATTTCCTAAATTCGGTACAATTTCGTTAGTGGAGAAAGATGATTATTATGAGAATGAATCGAAGGAAAAATCAAACAATGAAAAATATTTTGTCGACAATAGCTTCGAAAAAGTAAGTTACAATTGAATTTACTCGATCTGTTTATAACTTAATTTACGTATTAGTTTTATCCAAAGTGTTTTATCATGTTTCATTGATTATTCATGAAAATTTAGTGAAATTTACTTTTGTGAACAAAATTGAGAAACCTAGGGCTTGGATTTGGAGTAAGAGTGTAATGGTGAGAATATTATCTGGCTTTACTAAGTACTTGATTACGCAATGAAATACATCAAGTATTTTAATACCCAATCTGTCTTGGTAACAAATATATATATATATTAAGCATCTCCTAAAACTCACTTCTTGGTTGTATAATAGCTGTTTTTTTAATCAAGCATTTTAAGAACCAAATATTCCTAATTTTCACTTCATTAATCATGAAACACATGTTATCTATCACTGCACTTCAAATTTAGCTCAAAATTAGTGAGACGTTACCTTAATTCTGATTGATTAACTCAAGGCCGTGAGCATTTTACATTTTAACTGATATTTTTGTCTACTTTATGTTAACTATACACCAAACCTCATTTTAGATAAAAACAAGTTGCTTTCTTAATTTTTCTATTTTTCATAATTTCTCGATCACTAGAAAGGTAAAAATGAAGGTGTTGAGAACAAAACGTATAGTAAATCAGTAGATAATAGTGGTGCCGTATCAACAACAATAAATAGTAATAATCATCATGATAATAATTCCCTCGAACCTAATCTTGATTTCAATCGACGATTATCCAGTTCCATTTCAGCATCTCCAACAATGAATGTTGAAATTGAAGAACCAATTGATGAGAAGCACTCGACATGTATTTTTTCCAATAATGGATCTAATTACAGTCTAGATTCAACAAATTCTTCAGTTATCATGAATAAGAATGAAATAAGTTCATTAGACATTGAAAACAGTCACATTCAGAATAATAATAATAATACTAATAACAAACCAAAAGACGAAGTTGGTAAAAAGTGTACAATTGCTCAGAAATCACAACAACATCATATTCAAAATTTCAATAATCAATATCATCATCAACAACAACACATAACCAACGGTACGAATGATGCTGAAGATACTTTACATAATTTATGGAGTTTACGTAAACGTGTCTCATCTGATGTTAGTCCTTGGTCTACGTTGAAACGATCTAGATCCGTATTGACTTCAACAAGTTTAAGTAATGATAAAGTTTCAACGAATACTGTTTCATCAAACGAATTTTGTTCTGAAGAGGTTTATCAACTAGATGATGATGACTGTGGAATGTATAATACAAACGATAGAGGTTTTGTTCATAGTAAATCTATGGACAGTAAATTAAATCCATTTGACAACATTGATTCAAATTTAAAATTTTCAAAATGTCATCTATCTACTTGCAAATCAATAAATAACAATGAATTATTAACTGAACAGAAAAAAACTTGTAGTGAACCAAATGTACCCGTTAGTAGATCAAATATTAAAGATAAGAAATCACTAGCTGGTGCATTATCATATCCATCATTCCATCAACTTGAAAGCTGTCATCAAAATTTTTAAGAATATCAAATTATTCTTTATACAATTGTGTGACGAATCAAGCATATATATATGTATTGAAGATCTCGGATGATCAGTACTTAAAGATAGAGCATCTTTATTAACCGGTGGGCCTCCAAACATAAAATATACTTCAATTAACATGTAACATTTGTTTTTTTGACTTAATTTACTCTTTTGTTTAAATATAAGCTGTTTATTATCGATTTCAGGTCAGTGTTCACTTCTAATACTTTTATTTGTTTTAATATATATATTTAAATCTCCCATAAGATTTATAAATTATACATAAATTAATCTTTCTCTCTTCATATTCATCTTTTCCTGGTTAGAAAACAGTATATTTAAATAACATACATATTACAGAAAATATTTTAGGTGAATCAGTACTTTATATACATATACGTATAAAGACCGGCATTCAAGTCATTTTGTTTATCAAGACTAATTATTTCTCAGTTTATTTAAATAATTCTATGATTAATTTCAAAACATGTAACATTGAACATTGATTGTTACATATAACTTCTTATTTAAGAAATTAATTAAAAATGTAACGTAATCAATAAAAAATTTATGTTAAATACCAGAAATAAAATATTTAACAAAATGAATATATCAACTTCTTTCACTTTTTCTTTTACTTTATAATAGTGCCTTCATTGACTGTTGATATCTACAATAGAAACTTACATATTATATTATCAAGTCAGTTTCATAATGTAGCTTTAAATAACTCCCCAAAATCAATAGCTCATTAAGTGTTCGACATTGGATGCTGACCACATTGTTTTAAGTGGACTTGTTTAACTGAAGGCTTTCGGTCATGCATCCGTACCAGATCACGTTACGAATCAGAGTGGAACACAGCTCCTACGTTCACTAGAGCGAACGCTTCTCGATATATTGATAACATATTAAATATATCTTTCCGATCTCCTCGCATCTGACTTCTGATTTCGATTGGTTGGGGAAAGCTTCGAATACAGAAGGTGTTACTGGTTGCTAGTTGTTAAACTAGAAAACTAGTCTTATCTTCAATGGTGAGCCAGACGTGATCTGGTACACCAAGCGCATAAACTGTGAGTCTGTTCCTTTTTGGAATTTCATTATTGATTTTTATTCTTTGTTTGATTTATATATATTGTGATATACCTTTTTTCGGATATATTTAATTATATATTTCTCGTTCTAATAATACTATGACGGAACAGTCACGTAAGGTTTTTAAGTTAGAACCTATTCCCCCACCTTCCATTCAGTTAACGCCTTTTTGGCCTGACAATATCGAGTCCTGAATCTGCTACACAGAAGCTGACTTTTGCGGGCACGGAATTACGGACTCGCACACACGATTCCTCGCAGTAGTTAAGGCGTTACCGCAAGAATTTAACACGTACGTAACACCTAGTATGTTTACTAGTGATGTTTCGCAACCTTACGAAACTCTTAAACGGTCGATTTTTAGACGCGGAAATCTAACGGATCGACAACTGTCGGATCAATTACATAACAATATCGACCTATAACATGGTTCCGCGACGGACATTTTGTTAAGGATGAGAGAAGTAATAGGTCAAGGAACCTTCAACGAAGGCCTATTCAAACAACTTTTCTTGTCTAAACTCGCGAAACAGGTGCAGGCAGTGTTCGTCTCGTTCCAAAACAACGCCGTAGACGAACTAGCTGCATCTGCCGACCGAATCTTAAAAATAACGGAGTCTACTAACGCCGAGGTCTTTTCAGTCAAAGGAAAGCCTCAAACGACCCCGAATGACATCACCGAATCATATCATTCTCTCGCACTCTTCTTTCGATTACGCAATGATCATAGTCGGTCAGGAACCGCGCAAAGAAGCGTATCACGTAGGCGGTCTGTCTCTCGTGGTCGAGAGACAGGGAATCCCGATTGGTGCTGGTATCATAACCAGTATGGCAAATCGTCTAGAAATTGCAGGAAGCTCTGCAATTAGCCGATCTCTAAGGCGACCGAAACGAATAAGAATTCGGGAAAATTCCAGGCCGGCACGCGTTAATGGCAACCGTAGCCGGCGAACATAGCCGCCTCTTATACGTCACAGATGTCACTACGAATGTTCGCTACCTCGTCGACACCGGTGCAGAAGTTATCGTTCTTCCAGCAAGTCCCAACGACAGACTTCACGAGTCTGTTTTAAGTTTACAGGCGGTAAATGGAAAGCTGATTGCTACATACAGTAAAAGGTACGTCTACCTTAATGTAGGTTTACGCAAACCCATTCACTGGATTTTCGTTGTTTCGGATGTCTCTATGCCAATCATTGGTACCACAATCTATTCATCGACATACGCTCACGAAGGTTAAGAGACGGTAACACTAAGTTATCCGTTTGCGTAACTCCTCTTTCTGGTTGCAGATTATCCCCAGTCACAATTAGGCACGCCATAGACCCATTATATCAACCGTTACTGTATAAGTACTCTGGGATATATTAACCACAACCGAGATTGTCGTATGTAACCAGCAATGCTACACATCACATCTCGACTACAGGACCACCTGTATTCTCAAAAGCACACCGACTGACTCGCGGAAATTTTAGGTTTGCTAAAAACGAATTCGACCATATGATAGACTTGAGGATAATTCGACCATCAAATAGTCCATGGTCATCTCCATTGTACATGGTCCCTAAAAAGGACAGCAATGATTGGCGTACAACTGGTGATTATCGACGTCTGAATGGTAAAACCATTCCCGATCGTTACCCGTTGCCTCACATTCACGATTTGTCAGCTAACTTGAAAGGTACAACTGTCTTTTCGAAAATCGACTTAGTTAAGGCTTACAACCAAATACTTATGGCAACCGACGACATTCCTAAAACCGCCATTATAAATCCTTTCGGCCACTACGAATTCCCACGAATGCCTTTCGGCCTAAGAAATGCGGCTCAAACCTTCCAAAGGTTTATAGACGACGTCTTCCTAGGTCTCAACTTCGTACATGCGTATGTTGATGACTGTCTAATAGCAAGTCCGAACAGATAATTACACCTTCAGCATATGGACGTTGTTTTCGAACGACTTCAAAGTCATGGCATTACTGTAAACATTCAGAAAATCCTAATCGGAACAAACTCTTTAGACGTCTTAGGACACACCATTGATGCTCAAGGCATCCGACCTCTTAGAATTAAAGTGGCGGCCATTCTGGATTACCCAGAACCGACCACGATCAAGCAGTTTCTCACTTTTAAAGGCCATGTAAGTGTCTACAGACGGTTCATACCGAATTGCGCATCCCTTGTGAAACCGTTAACCGACCAACTTCGTGGAAATGCGAAATCAATTTATCTAGACGATACCGCGCGACAAGCCTTCTCCACAGTTAAGGAACATATCGCTAAGGCGACCCTGCTTGCGCATCAAGATACTCAAAAACCCATTAGTATCGCCGTAGACGCATCCGACTCAGCAATCGGAGCAGTCTTACAACAATGGGTTAACAACTCGTGGCAACCTTTAGGATTTTTCTCGAGACGGTTGCTAGACGCGGAATATAGGTACACCACGTTCGGTAGGGAACTCCTAGCTATGTATTGTGCTGTACGACATTCCCAACATTCCATCGAAGGAAGAGAATTCACGCTTTTTACCGATCACAAACCTCTTACCTTCTCTTTAAATTCATCTTCAGACAAGTACTCACCGCGACAGTCTCGACAACTCGACTACATTTCGCAGTTTACTTCAGATCTACAACACATCTGGAGTAAACAATGTAGTCGCAGACGCTTTGTCTCGAATAAGTTTCTTGAACAGTTTCCAGGGAATCGACCTCCTCAAATTCGCTCAGCTCCAAAAAGAAAACACTGATCTTCAGAACGAGTTATCCTCGACAACCTTAAATCAGATAGGAACAGGTAAGGAAACCTTACTATGTGACACATCTACAGGTGGGGATCGCCCAATCGTACCAAAACATTATCGACGCAACGTCTTCGATATGTTGCACAATCTTTCACATCCAGGTGTTCGTGCATCCATCAAGCTCAAAGCCGAACGGTTTTGCTGACCTGGTATGAATAAAGACGTGAGGGAGTGGGCACGCTCCTGTGTAAGCTGCGATAAATCTAAGGTTATTCGACACAACAAATCTACATCGGTGACCTACAGGTTCTTCCTTCGGCTTTACCTGCGCTCGCTCTCTGTTTTGTACGAATGGTAGCATTTCTGTATTCCAGCCTGCTATCCTGAACTTTCGACTTGAAATTTTACCCTCTACAATTTTTGGAAAGACTAAACATAAGTGTTTTAGAGTGCTTTCCAATAAATACTTGGCATGCGCAGATTAGTTGGAATTCTGGACAGTTCGTATTCCTTTCAAATGCAATGCAAACTAGACCATACCAATTCATTCCAGAATTTATTTAACTATAATAGGATTACTGGCTATTTCGATCGCTAGTGTCAATATAACTCCAATTCAGTTACAGAGTTCCAAATCTAGTGTTAATTCAATATTACTATTTTCCTAGTCCAGTTGTGTTCAGACTGTTTCTTGGCCTTGCGCATAATACTTGGATGACTGAACTTCCTTTATTCCATATCTTACAATATACAGGTATAAATGGATATCCAATTAAGACCATGATTTTCAACAAAGGCAATGACAGAAATAGGGGGTTTTGCAGCTGTGTTTAGGAGGGAGACATTTTATGAGTAGCTCATGAAATGAATATGTACTGAGAATCTGAAAATATTTAAGCTTAGGCTCCACCAGAACTAGTGTTTAGAAAGGAGTTAAAATACCTTTTCGTTCATTCTCTTTCTCTTATAAAACTGAAGAGTAAAAAGATTACAGTGAAATATAACCGTGATCCAGCCAAGTAATCGTCAAATCTGGACCGAACCAATATTAGGGGATTGATCACTAAATGCTGAATGCTCCATCATAATTCATAAAAATGAAGGGTGACGCAGATTGATAAGTGGAAAACACTGACTGTTCAGTGAAGTAATAATAATAATAATATATTTCTGCATTAGCAGGTACACGCCATTTTTACAGGCATGATCTACAATTTACAACATATACCGGTTCACAGTATGCATCCCAAGCAAGCTTGTTTAGTAATTATAATCTATAAAAGTTGATAGCAGTTCATTCGTTCAGATATAATGTGTTTTCATAAGAATAGTTTCCAAAGGGGCATAGCCTCCACGTTATATACCAGATCCAATCTCGACAAAAAGTGTAATAGGGTTTCGGTAGTTCTAAGTATTTTTGTAGTGCAGCTTTTTAAGTTTATAGTTGTTATAATGTAGGCTTAAGGAGCGCCTGGTTCGATCTATGACCTTGGGAAAGCGCGTTCGTCAAGCTTGTTCCAGATGTCAGAAGTTACATAGCTTCACCCTCAGAGCAAGATTCTGAAGAGAAAAAAAAGAAAAAGAAACCGAGCAGCAAGGCATTTGGATATGGGCGATAATCAATGCTTAACATTTATTAGTGGAACAGATGGAGGTATGATAAATTATTAGATTAAATTGATACTAGCTCATGTTGCAAGAGTAAACTGCGATTAGGGGCTCCAGAAGAGAGAAGGCAGTAATAAAGAACAATGAGTTGTGATATTTATCAAGGTGGAGTAGGTTCCAATGAAGGAGGGAAGTCAAGGTTGGAATGAGGAAGAACAGAGAGTGCATATAGAGAGTAGTGTTAAGTAAAATAGCAACCATATCCTTTACAGTCAGTTCTTTTTCTTTTCTCATTCAAAGACTGCCACACAGTGTTCATGTAAAAGTCCGAGTTAGCATGTTAAAGGTTGTCTTAGTAGAATAGTTAATCCAGCACAAAAATTAGAAACATGAGTCTTAATGGTGAGTGTAGGTGAACAATCTCAATATCACAGATCTATTGACTTGTTCTCATCCATAAAGAGCCTGATACAAACAAAATGT